GTATTATGTATTATGTATTATGTATTATGTATTATGTATTATGTATTATGTATTATGTATTATGTATTATGTATTATGTATTATGTATTATGTATTATGTATTATGTATTATGTATTATGTATTATGTATTATGTATTATGTATTATGTATTATGTATTATGTATTATGTATTATGTATTATGTATTATGTATTATGTATTATGTATTATGTATTATGTATTATGTATTATGTATTATGTAATATGTATTATGTATTATGTATTATGTATTATGTATTATGTATTATGTATTATGTATTATGTATTATGTATTATGTATTATGTATTATGTATTATGTATTATTTATTATTTATTATGTATTATGTATTATGTATTATGTATTATGTATTATGTATTATGTATTATGTATTATGTATTATGTATTATGTATTATGTATTATGTATTATGTATTATGTATTATGTATTATGTATTATGTATTATGTATTATGTATTATGTATTATGTATCATGTATCATGTATCATGTATCATGTATTATGTATTATGTATTATGTATTATGTATTATGTATTATGTATTATGTATTATGTATTATGTATTATGTATTATGTATTATGTATTATGTATTATGTATTATGTATTATGTATTATGTATTATGTATTATGTATTATGTATTATGTATTATGTATTATGTATTATGTATTATGTATTATGTATTATGTATTATGTATTATGTATTATGTATTATGTATTATGTAAATATGTATTATGTATTATGTATTATGTATTATGTATTATGTATTATGTATTATGTATTATGTATTATGTATTATGTATTATGTATTATGTATTATGTATTATGTATTATGTATTATGTATTATGTATTATGTATTATGTATTATGTATTATGTATTATGTATTATGTATTATGTATTATGTATTATGTATTATGTATTATGTATTATGTATTATGTATTATGTATTATGTATTATGTATTATGTATTATGTATTATTTATTATGTATTATGTATTATGTATTATGTATTATGTATTATGTATTATGTATTATGTATTATGTATTATGTATTATGTATTATGTATTATGTATTATGTATTATGTATTATGTATTATGTATTATGTATTATGTATTATGTATTATGTATTATGTATTAAGTATTATGTATTATGTATTATGTATTATGTATTATGTATTATGTATTATGTAATATGATTATGTATTATGTATTATGTATTATGTATTATGTATTATGTATTATGTATTATGTATTATGTATTATGTATTATGTATTATGTAATATGTATTATGTAATTATGTATTATGTATTATGTATTATTATTATGTATTATGTATTATGTATTATGTATTATGTATTATGTATTATGTATTATGTAATATGTATTATGTATTATGTATTATGTATTATGTATTATGTATTATGTATTATGTATTATGTATTATGTATTATGTATTATGTATTATGTATTATGTATTATGTATTATGTATTATGTATTATGTATTATGTATTATGTATTATGTATTATGTATTATGTATTATGTATTATGTATTATGTATTATGTATTATGTATTATGTATTATGTATTATGTATTATGTATTATGTATTATGTATTATGTATTATGTATTATGTATTATGTATTATGTATTATGTATTATATATGTATTATGTATTATGTATTATGTATTATGTATTATGTATTATGTATTATGTATTATGTATTATGTATTATGTATTATGTATTATGTATTATGTATTATGTATTATGTATTATGTATTATGTATTATGTATTATGTATTATGTATTATGTATTATGTATTATGTATTATGTATTATGTATTATGTATTATATTATGTATTATGTATTATGTATTATGTATTATGTATTATGTATTATGTATTATGTATTATGTATTATGTATTATGTATTATGTATTATGTATTATGTATTATGTATTATGTATTATGTATTATGTATTATGTATTATGTATTATGTATTATGTATTATGTATTATGTATTATGTATTATGTATTATGTATTATGTATTATGTATTATGTATTATGTATTATGTATTATGTATTATGTATTATGTATTATGTATTATGTATTATGTATTATGTATTATGTATTATGTATTATGTATTATGTATTATGTATTATGTATTATGTATTATGTATTATGTATTATGTATTATGTATTATGTATTATGTATTATGTATGTATTATGTATTATGTATTATGTATTATGTATTATGTATTATGTATTATGTATTATGTATTATGTATTATGTATTATGTATTATGTATTATGTATTATGTATTATGTATTATGTATTATGTATTATGTATTATGTATTATGTATTATGTATTATGTATTATGTATTATGTATTATGTATTATGTATTATGTATTATGTATTATGTATTATGTATTATGTATTATGTATTATGTATTATGTATTATGTATTATGTATTATGTATTATGTATTATGTATTATGTATTATGTATTATGTATTATGTATTATGTATTATGTATTATGTATTATGTATTATGTATTATGTATTATGTATTATGTATTATGTATTATGTATTATGTATTATGTATTATGTATTATGTATTATGTATTATGTATTATGTATTATGTATTATGTATTATGTATTATGTATTATGTATTATGTATTATGTATTATGTATTATGTATTATGTATTATGTATTATGTATTATGTATTATGTATTATGTATTATGTATTATGTATTATGTATTATGTATTATGTATTATGTATTATGTATTATGTATTATGTATTATGTATTATGTATTATGTATTATGTATTATGTATTATGTATTATGTATTATGTATTATGTATTATGTATTATGTATTATGTATTATGTATTATGTATTATGTATTATGTATTATGTATTATGTATTATGTATTATGTATTATGTATTATGTATTATGTATTATGTATTATGTATTATGTATTATGTATTATGTATTATGTATTATGTATTATGTATTATGTATTATGTATTATATTATGTATTATGTATTATGTATTATGTATTATGTATTATGTATTATGTAATATGTATTATGTATTATGTATTATGTATTATGTATTATGTATTATGTATGTATTATGTATTATGTATTATGTATTATGTATTATGTATTATGTATTATGTATTATGTATTATGTATTATGTATTATGTATTATGTATTATGTATTATGTATTATGTATTATGTATTATGTATTATGTATTATGTATTATGTATTATGTATTATGTATTATGTATTATGTATTATGTATTATGTATTATGTATTATGTATTATGTATTATGTATTATGTATTATGTATTATGTATTATGTATTATGTATTATGTATTATGTATTATGTATTATGTATTATGTATTATGTAATATGTATTATGTATTATGTATTATGTATTATGTATTATGTATTATGTATTATGTATTATGTATTATGTATTATGTATTATGTATTATGTATTATGTATTATGTATTATGTATTATGTATTATGTATTATGTATTATGTATTATGTATTATGTATTATGTATTATGTATTATGTATTATGTATTATGTATTATGTATTATGTATTATGTATTATGTATTATGTATTATGTATTATGTATTATGTATTATGTATTATGTATTATGTATTATGTATTATGTATTATGTATTATGTATTATGTATTATGTATTATGTATTATGTATTATGTATTATGTATTATGTATTATGTATTATGTATTATGTATTATGTATTATGTATTATGTATTATGTATTATGTATTATGTATTATGTATTATGTATTATGTATTATGTATTATGTATTATGTATTATGTATTATGTATTATGTATTATGTATTATGTATTATGTATTATGTATTATGTATTATGTATTATGTATTATGTATTATGTATTATGTATTATGTATTATGTATTATGTATTATGTATTATGTATTATGTATTATGTATTATGTATTATGTATTATGTATTATGTATTATGTATTATGTATTATGTATTATGTATTATGTATTATGTATTATGTATTATGTATTATGTATTATGTATTATGTATTATGTATTATGTATTATGTATTATGTATTATGTATTATGTATTATGTATTATGTATTATGTATTATGTATTATGTATTATGTATTATGTATTATGTATTATGTATTATGTATTATGTATTATGTATTATGTATTATGTATTATGTATTATGTATTATGTATTATGTATTATGTATTATGTATTATGTATTATGTATTATGTATTATGTATTATGTATTATGTATTATGTATTATGTATTATGTATTATGTATTATGTATTATGTATTATGTATTATGTATTATGTATTATGTATTATGTATGAATTTTGTTGTTATGTGTTATCACGAACTTAATTTCTATGGAATATTTCATTATTTATAATGAATGTGGGAATTAATTACATTATATTATGACAGAGATCGGAATCGAATAAAAAAAAATTGGAAATAAGTAACACGTTTTGTATAGTCGAGATAAATCGATTCTTTATTGACTTATTTAGTGGTAAGAAGACTTTTTCTCTCGCTTACCGAGAAAAACCGACTCGAAAATACATTAGCTTATCGTCCTGATTCTGTCTTCTCCTACTCTTTTGAACTGCAGTTTATGGGGTTTGACTAGAAAATTGTATTCATCACAGAAAAAAAACACTTTTATCCAAGCACGAATTGAAAGCAGTCTGAAACTTCCTAATAAACTAAAATCTTTCAGAATAAATGCGGCATTATTTTGAATGAAAGTCAATAATGCCAAACTCTGTAGACAGCCTTTCACGCGATTTTAATTGTTTTAAAATATGTGGACCAGTTTGTTGACAGATGCTTCACAATTAAACGAAAATGTAAGCTCAGCTTGATATTTTATTATGTCAATGACGAACACGTTTTAACAAAATATTTAATACAGTTTATATAAGGAAAAAAATCATAAAGGTATAAAAAGGGGGGCCATTTTAAGTACAGAGTTGCCCAATTTTATGGTTTTTTTTTTTTGGTTTCGACAAAATCTTTCCTTCTTCGGATTCGTTATGTGTTGGTAGTTCCTTATTCCAAGGTTGTATTTCTGCCGTCCCAAAAAAATGATAAACGAGATAAGTAAGTATCGATATAATGCAGGATACTTCAAAAACATTTCGCCATTGATCAATGGAGTCCTAAAAATATAGAATTTCAGATGTTGTGAATTTTAAGCATGTAATTATTAAAAACTGTAACAATTTTATACCAATCGCAGTACTTTTTCTTGGCATTAAAACAGAGTATTAAAATACTGCTCGAATGTGTGATAAATTATATGGCATTACAAGACGGTATTAAGATAATATAAATCCAAACAGCTTTAATTTGCCCAAGTCATAAATAAATTAGATACCGAAGATTTATGAGGCTCCTATTCTGTATTTTTAAGGTATGCAAAATTCTAATAATTGGTTGCATTAATACAATTTAGTCTTCACTAAGAACACCTAACCTATTAACAATAGGTTACAAGGGTTTACTCAACGACATGTTTTGTTTTATTGTGACCCCTTTTTTATGGTATTAATTATTTATTTATTAAATCTTCTCCTTTGGAAACTAATCGAATCTTAAAACTATAACCTAACTATCTAACTGACAGACTTTATATATCAGGTGCCTCAGATTCTGCCTGAGTTCTGTCTGAGACCAGGGTTAGGTTCCGAGAGATAATGTTATGAGACCCGTGAAACTGTGGCATCAATAATATTACAATGAATGAATTCGTTTGACCTTATATAATTCTTATTGCCAATATCTATCCATTTGCAAAAGATTTTTTAAATCAAACCATTATTTTGCTGTTTATAAAGAAATTCTTGTTATATAGCCTCACATGGAGAGTGACGTTACCATCAGTTACTCAACATGCTTTTTCTGACAAACGTAGAGCTCTGTGATGCCACTGCAGCTGGACATGAGTTTTCATCCGGCCACGCACACTCTAACGCTCACAAACTGCGGAAAAATGTGGCGTCCATAATATTACAATGTATGTCTTTGTTTGACTTTGTATAACATATTTTTCAATATCTATCGAATTACCAAAGATTTTTTAATCGGAACAATACGAGTATTTCGCTATATCGTAAGATATTTGGGTTATAAGGCCTTACATGGACAGTGACGTCACAATCATTTAGTAAACATGATTTTTAACACAAGGTGGCGCTTTGGTTATTTCCACTAGCAAATTTAATATTTTACATTTGTGTAAAACAGTAACGGGTATCTTATAGTCGTGGCACTTGACAATAGCATTTCTTCTTGTTTTTGTATAAATAGGACTCTAGTAGTAATAGATAAGTATACTCAGCAGTATGGTTTGATTCTATGCATGAGGCCATCTATCTGTATTCTAAGCCCGATTTTGTTGCTTTGGATCTCACCGAAAACGTTCTTTTATATAGATAGGACTCAAGTAAGTTATGAGTATAGTCTGGCAGTAGGTTTTTCATTTTATGCATAGGACCATCTAGCCAGACCCTGTCACACGCTTGGAAGACGTCGAGGAATATCGCACTGCTGTATTCCCGATTTTCCAAGGAGGTTCATATTTCAGCTGTTAACTGGTTAATCTGCTCGATTGTGCCATGATCTCTGTATTGCGCTCTGCAATAAGCATATATGAGAGATAACATTTCTAGCATAGAAAAGACATAAAATAGACATTTATCAAATCTTGTCATCCCTTGGAAAAGTTTGAACATAGCCTAGGACTTCAGAGAGGTAGCGTGAGGCTTCCTTAAATAACTATAATAAAGTCAAAATCAGAAGATGGGTATGAATTTGGTGATTCATTGGTCCTCTATTGCTGCTGTGACAAAAACTGATTTTAGAGCGAATCAGCCCATAAAAGTAGGGGTCAGATGAGAGGTCTGGGAGCAATCTGGCGGTTAATAAATGCGTGAAATGTTTTTGAACACACCAAAGTCGATTAAGTCAGTCAGTTTCCACATTTCCACATTTAATATTGCATTGTGTAACAAGTTACCTTTTCGGATCACGAGACTCCAGCCTCAGTGCGTATTTTTCGCGATGCAGTCTCCAGCTGCTAGATATGGGTTTGCGAAACAGTTGAAGAAGTCCAATACTTGTGCTTTCGAAATTGTAAAGCGAGATGGACATAGTTATGAAATAGGTAAGTCCGAAAGCCAAAGGCGTTGAACTAAACGAAATACATTAATTTTGTACTTTTCGAGTACACAGAAATGTCAATACGCTCACTGTGTCGTTGTATTTTCATTCCAAGAAAGTGATATATATGATGAACATTAAAACTTTCGTGCTACTTTTTTTATGCAGACATATATGGCTATCAAATTATACAAATTCGGACTTTTTTTTTATTTACTCAATCATTTTAAAGCGTTAATAAAGTGCTGTTCCAGACCCTGCTGGACTGCACAGACTTATGGCCTAATAACACCCAATATCTGTCTCCCTTGCACTATGTGGAATTTTACCCATTTTTGTGGCCAAAATTAATATTTTTAAAATAAACAAGATTTTTCACCACATGTTTCTTGTATAATGATGCACTATAGAAAGGTATTTTTTAAAAGTGGGCGTGGCCCACAAAAATTTAATATTTAGCAATTTTCAAGTTAGAGACCCCAATTTTGGAACACAGGATGAATGTCCTATTTCAAATATGTCCTAAAAATTTGGCCAGATCGGATAATAAATATAGAAGTTAATCAAGATGAAATTCTTTTTGTAGTATTATTCTATGTATTTATTTTCAACTTCATCATATTCATCAATTTTATTATTATTATATAAAAAAAGTATGTATTGTCATCTGCCCTTGCGTCGATATCATTTGCAGACTAAATTTCACAAGCCAACAGCTGGAGGACTTATATTGCTTCTTATAATTCATATTACGCTGGACTGAATTCCTTTCTCAAATTATGAGGATTGGAAACGGGGCTTAGGGGTTTAATTTTCCTAAATCACACTTTCAATTTCTATATATGTAAGTTACCATTTGTGTGTTGGTGAATGGAAGACCAGGATTTGTATTGTAAATTATTTTAAATGGCGAATCAATACTGGACTATACATATCTTAATTTCTGCCCTCTCTCTCTACATGATTATAAATATCTTTCAGTGCAATGATGAGATCAAATATACAGAAATAAATAAAATGTTTTATTTGACAAGACAGGGATCATAATGGTTCTGAAAAATATAAAAAATTGTTTGCAGTGGAAAGGTGTCTAGACTACCGGAATAACATAAAAACACTCTAAAGTTTACCAAACGTCGCCAACAGCTTCAAGTTGCATTCGTCGTGTACGCTAATTATACCCGTTACTCGTGGAGTAAAAGGGTTTACTAGATTCGTTGAAAAGTATGTAACGGGTAGAAGGAAGCGTTTCCAACCCTATAAAGTATATATATTTGTCGAAGATAAGTTTGATTTTATTTGAAATACTGTGTTCAATTATTAACTATAAAGTGTATAGTTTAATGAGAAATAAATGAGTTTGCTAAATGAGAGAGAAAGAAACTTCTAGAACAAGAGTGCGGTAGGGAAGGAGAGCAAAAGCTCTTCTGAGCGTGGCGCAATGCTGAAAGAGAGAGGAAGAGAAGGAAGGCAGTTGAGAAAAGCCCTCAGAAGTGAACCGACGTAGAATAGATCATTGCGACTCGCTTCGCGTTGTGTAAAACAATATGACAGACGAAAACCACCCTCGTTCCCCGACGTCAGAATTCGGATCACCGCCCCTACAAGACAACTCGGAAAATAGCTGCCGCAGGCTATTAGAATCGCAAAAAAAAATTGATAACCGAACTAATCAAAGCCACGCCGCGGCCTTACACACGTGCTTTTCACGCGATGTTACTAACATTCAATCCCGAAGCTGCAGAAGCCGACGCAGCAGCATTGTGCAAAACGGCAAATATGATTCTAAGTGAATATCCGCAAGAAGGTGCATCTTTGGTGATGACGCTCAGCAAATCAGTGCATCGCAGTGGCTGACGCAAATTAGTTTTCCTGCAATTAACGCTACGAAGGCAACGAGCCGCCGGCGGCAGTGTTGCCAATATGCTCAAGTGGCGTCCCAATGCAAATGAATGCCTCTCGGTGTATTCCAGTCGATTAATAACATCATTATTGACCAAGTGGAAATCAATAACCCATGAGGAGATCGCCATATCCCTAGTCTTGGCTCATTCATCACAAACTGACCCTAAACTGCAGTGCGTAGCGTTCACCACAAACATTAAAACACGTACTGATCTACAATAAGAACTCAAGGCGCACTCGTTCAGCAGAAATCTATAACTTTCTGGAAAGGAGGGCCCCGAATGAAGGAGGTTCAAAAATTAGATGTCATAATTGCAGAACACTTTGACATAAGGCAAAAGAATATCGCAAAAGAAGAACAGAAGAGCGAGACAACACTAGACCAGACCATAGCAACAACAGAACGACGAAGGTGCGAGAGAGATCAACAGCGACTTGTTTCAAGTGTGGCGGCATTAGACATATCGCATCAGTGTGTACGAGGGAAACAGCAACAGCAAGCCGAAGCAGCAACGAAAAGAAGAGTAGACATGTGCGCATTACTTAAATTTGGTGAGAAATTTCCATTGTTCTTCGCTTCGGAATCTGAATGCTCTCTGGTAAAAAAAAAACAGTCAGCGTGAAGCTAGCCGGAAAAAGATTCAATAACTTAGTAGCTTTGAAAAGCATAGGAGACACCATTGTCAAAAACAACATGCAAATTCTGTCCACCATACAAATTTCTAAATTTTATTTTGAATTCTCATTTCGCGTAGTAGATAATAAGTGCCTTAAATATTAGGTCGTCAAAAAAGTCTTGATGAATTATCGCTAGTTGGCGTTGAAAGCGCGTAGTTCTTGTTTTATTCGTCGCATCATACTATACCTTTTTGGAAAGCTCATTTCACGCGCTAACACGTGTTTGATTGATTGTCTTTTCTTTTAAGTCGTTCGTGAGTTATAGAGTCGCAATCATGGAGCAAAATAAAGAGAAAATACGGCATATTTTACAGTACTACTACGATAAAGGCAAAACTGCATCTCAAGCCGCCAATAAAATTTGTGCAGTTTATGGACCCGATACAGTTTCCATTTCCACCGCACAACGATGGTA